CGGCTCCCGGGCTGAGAAGCTCAGGAGAGTAGCTCCTGTCCTTCAGAAGGAAGCTATCTGGGGGTTTCCGAAAATAGGGGACCCGAAACATAGCACCCTAAATAGTACGATCCCCTTATTATAAGGACCCCAAACAGAGGGTACCCCTTACTTTCGGAAACTCCCAACCCTAAACCCCTAAACCCCTAAACCCTAAACCCAATCTGGGGTGCCATGAGAGTTCAAGAGGAGGTCCGAGCTCAACCCGAAGAGTCCTGAGCCTTGGGGGTTGGGTTTAGGGGCCTCTAGGCCAATATGGGGGCCTTAACACTTAGAATAGAGTTTAGGGTTTAGGGTTTAGGGGCCTCTTGGGTAATATAGGGGCCTTAACACTTACAATAGGGGGTGTTTGGGGGACCCATGAGAGTATCCTTGTAATAAGGAAGATCGTATTTGTAATTGCTTAGGCTTAGACCCCTCTATTTCATGGCTTGAGGTTTAGGGATTCATCCTCGCGGGGTGCTTTTCGAGATCCTTGCGGCTTCGGATCTGGGATCTTTGGGCTGGTCGCGGATAAAGAAACCCTAAGCCTCAAACCTGAACCTTCAAAGCTTTCAAAGCAGACACCCGAATCCCAAATTCCTGACACTTGAGGGATGAACAAAATCAACGGTCACCGCAGAACGCATTCTTCAACCCTAAGACATTTGAAACATCGTCCACACCAGTTGCCGTCCCCCAGGCCCTCAAGCCCGTAGCCCCACTAGAAAGCGCGGAAGAAATCAGTACTACCTGGGAGGTTTAGGGTTTCGGGCCTCTTTGTGAAGGCCCCCTATACTAAACTACTAAACCCCAATTGAACCCTTTCAAAAGGAGCCCTACCCAAGGCGCCTGGTTGTTGAGCTGCGTCTCGAAGAAGAAATCCTGGAACTCCTGCGGCCCGGGGCTTTGCAGCTCTTTGGCCCCAAGCACTCGGGTAAGCGAAGGGGACCGAATAGCTAGCATAGTGTTTTTTGTTGGGGGGGGTATGAATGATAGCAAAATAACACTCTGAGGGTACTGGTACTACTAGTAAGTACATCTATATGTATACATGTGTGTGCATTTATGTATTTATTTATTTATCAAGTTATACACACTTACTTATTTACTTATGTATACATGTATATTTATATTGTAGATAGTAGAAGATTGACATGCTTTCCCGAATATGCTAGCTTGGAATAACATCGGAAGCAAGAGCCCTGCGAGGGCTTTGACATGGGACCTTGATCCGTTGCACAAAGACCACCACCATCATGAGCAGCATCACTAGAAGTTGGCTGTGCTGTAGGGCATTCGGGTCTCGTGATTCCTGCCACTGTCGCCAGGGTGATCTGTAAAGGCCGTGAAGGAAAATAGTCTGGCTTCTTCTTCTTGAGGGATTTATTGCACAACCCCTTTGAAGACCTCACAACAAACAATCCACTCTCTCCTTAACCGAAACCCCGAACCCAAAACCCGTCATCCGTAAACCCTACAACCACCATAAAACCCGACACAACTCCCTACAAACCCCCTTCTAAACTCTCACCCTAAACATTCCCCAAACCCAACAACCTTCAACCCAAAACCCCAAATCCTCAACGGCAAGCCTAAAGCCCAGCAAGACCTCCCAAAAACTCCTGTCCCAAACCCTAAACCCTAAACCCCAAACCCGAAAACCCCAAGCCCTAAACCCCAAGCCCTAAACCCGAAACCCTAAGCCCTAAACCCTCCGAGGGAGCTCCTCGAAGCTCGAGGAAGCCGAGAGCCCGGGATACCACTCGGGATTGCTGGCCACGCCCACGGTCATCGCCCAGGTTACCGCCTGGGGGCCAAAGGGTGGTAGAGGGGTTTAGGGCTTAGGGGCCTTGGGGTTTAGGGTTTAGGGGCCTTGGGGTTTAGGGGCTTGGGGTTTAGGGTTTAGGGCTTAGGGTTTAGGGGCTTAGGGTTAGGGCTTAGAGGGTAAAAGGTTTTAGGTGTTCGGGTGTTTAAGGTGTCGGGTGTTAGGGGGCTTTTGTAAGGCTTTCGGTTCATGATACAGGTGTCTTGTGCGGGTGTGAAAAGGCTTGGTTAAGGCTGTACTGTACGGGTTGCAAAAGAAGCTTTGGAAGTATTCGAGTACGTCAGGCTATAAAAGATGGTGATTGCCGCGTTGTGAGCCTTGGGCTGAGGTTGACAGGCATGCTACCTGCTTGCCTCAAAATAGCAGGCCTTCACAGGCTACGCGGACATCACGAAGTCAAGTCAAAATGACCTAGCTCTCAAACTCTTGAGCCTGACTCGGGAGACTCGGGCTAGGGCCTTTTCGTGTCCTTCATGGGAGGTCTTCACTCAGAACTCTTTCAGTTTCCTTTATGAAACAATACTAATTATAGTACACCTAGGGCCCCGCACTAGCCCCCCTGTAAGCCTTATGGGCCCCTTTCATAGGAACACTATAAGGAACCCTATTCTAATGCTTAAGACCCCTAGGTTATCCCGCCTCAAAGCACGGCTCCCCGGGCTCTGCCGTACCGCAGGGTGGAGGCGTGGTAGTGGGTGGAGCCTGGGCTTTTCTTCAGGAGCCGGGCTTAAGCTCCCACTGCAAAGTGGGTAGCTCTCTAAATTGGGGGGCCCCTTTTGAGGGTCCTTTTTACAAGGGTGCCGTAGACTCTTGGGGGCCAAAAAAGGGATCCTGATTTAGACAACTGCCCAAAGAAGTCCCCGAACAAGAGCTCTACAAGAAAGAAGCTGCAGTAACAGCAACAACAACAACAACAGCAGCAATACCAATAACAATACTGACAGCAAGAATAGCAACAAACACTATCACCTTAAACCCTAAAGCCCTAAAACCCTAAACCCCAAAACCCTAAAACCCTAAACCCTGTCATGAAAGCTCCTTAGCAAGCACCCAGGAGCCGGCGGCGGTGGATCCAGCGGCGCGGTGCTGGCGAAGGAGGCGTAGAGCTCACCAAGGGCCGAGAGGCTTCCATTCTGGGACGAGTTTAGGGGTTTAGGGTTTACGTGAGGGTTTTTAGGGTTCAGGGTGTTGGGTTTAGGGTTTGGGGTTTAAGGTTTTGGGTTTAGGGTTTAAGGTTTTGGGTTTTGGGTTTAGGATTTAGGGTTTTGGGTTTAGGGTATAGGGCTTACTTGAGGGGTTTAGGGGTTTTAGGTTGTTTTGGGTGGCGTTTGGGGATTTCGGGTGATTTTGGGGATTCTGGGCTCTCTCTGGATTTTATGGGTTTCAGGGTTAGGGGATTTGGGGAGTTATATTAAGGGTGCTTGTGGGCTTTAAGGTCCTTAAGGGTTTTGGGAAAGCAGAGCGTTTTGTGGGCTTGTCGGGTCCCGGAGTTTAGGGTAAGCAGGTTTATTGAGGCTTCAGGGCTTCAGTGCTCGACTCCTCAAACCTAGAGATCTAAACCCTAAACCCCAAACCCTCAAGCCTTGAAGCCCTAAGCCGTAAGCCCTAAACCCTAAATTACCAAACCCTTAAGCCCGAAGTCCCTAAACTACCAAACCCTTAAGCCCTGAGCCCTAAACCCCTAAACCAAATGGGCCTTGTAGATAAGGCCGGCATCCCCGTTCTTGCCGTCCACAATCGGAAACTCCCAGTCGTCCTCGAACATGCTGAACCAGGCCTTGGCTTTCTGAAGCTTAGGGCTTAGGGTTTAGGGTTTAGAACTTAGGGGTTTAGGGGCTTTGGGCTTAAGGGTTTGGGGCGTGGGGTTTAGGGCTTAAGGGTTTAGGGTTTAGGGCTCCGGGGTAAGTTTCTGGTTTCGGGCTTAGGGTTTAGGGTTTAGTGGTGTTTTTGTTGTGTGTGTGTTTTTGTTGTGTGTGTGTGTGTTGTTTTTTGTTTGTTGTGTGTGTGTGTGTGGATGATTTCGTGTTTTTTGTTGCTGTTGTTGTTCTTGTTGGCTGTCGTTAGCCGTTGTTGTTTATTGTTAATTGTTTTTTGCTGTCGCTTGTGACTGTTTCTTGTAGTTTGTTTGCGCTTGTTGTCGTTCTTGATGTTCATACACACGCTAGAGCCCTTCAGGAATAAAGCCTTAAAGCGCTAAAGACCCAATTCTGCAGCCACGCGCACGACTCAATTGATAGAGCCCTTTAGCCTGAGCTTACCCTTAAGCTCAAAACTTTAACTTACCCTGAAGCCCCAAACCCTAAACCCAAAACTTTTGACTTTCCCTTAAGCCCTAAGCCCTAAATCCTAAGCTTACACTTAAGCCCCAAACCCCAAACCTAAAGCTTGCCCTTAAGCCCTAAACCCTAAACCAGAAACTTACCCTTAAGACAATAAAAGCAACAACAAACACCAACAAACAATGAGACAGTGACACGCGGCGACGACGACGGCGGCGGTGACGACGACGATGACGACGACGTCGACGACAACCACGAGGAGAATGTCGACGACACGACGACGACGACGACGACGACGACGATGCCGATGCCGACGACGAACAACAACAAACAATGACTACAAGAAACGACAACAAACAACAAGGAAAATCAGGCAGAAGCCCATGATTCCAAATGCAAGAGAAGGCGGCGTAGTACGCGATGGCAGGCTCCTGCATCGGTGGTTTCGCTTCAACGCATCCTCGGGCCTAGGGTTCAGGGCTTATAGGGCTTAGGGTCTCGGATCCCTAAGCCCTCAACCCTAAACCCCGAACCCTAAAACCCTAAAACCCTCTAACCCTAATACCCTAAAAACCCTAAAAACCCTACAACCCTACACTTAAAGAGAGGTCCGAAGCCCCAGAGTTTCGACAGTCAGCTGCTCAGCCACCTAAGTCCTAGGATCGAAGTTTGCAGGGTTTTGGGGCGACAGAGCCCTCCTGGCAGAGCGCTTAAACCTTTAGGGTTTAGGGTTTTAGGGTTTAGGGTTTAGGGCTCAAGGTTTGGAGTTTCGGGTTTAGGGTTCAGGGTCTTGGTTCAAGGTCTCCTCAACCGGCGTGTGTCCGTTCTTCGCTTCACAAGTGAGTCTAATTCATGGGGTCTGACTATTACTTCAGCTAATTGAGAAAACAACCTCCTCTGCTCATAAGCCTAGTACCAAAATCCTGTACGCCAAACAGTTTAAACCCCAGTCCCTCAACCGTACCGAAAACCCCCAAACACTTCTCCTGCTCCAGCAAAGGGATTGCTTCACGCATGAAGGCCATCTGACCCTCCGCAGGCAGGCGCTCGGGGGAAGCAGCCTGGTGGCACAGTGCTCGTCGCGTTTTGGATTCTTGGGTTTAGGGGCTGTTAAGTTTCGGGGTAGGTGGTTTTGGGCTTGGGGTTCAAGGCTCCTGAGAAGGGTGACAGCGCGGAGAATCGCAGCCATAACTCTGGCAACAATTTGCTTGATGCTTGCTGCCCAGGATTGCCAGGCACAGTCTACCGCGCTTCGCGATGCAACATGCTGAGGGAACCCTAAACCCTAAACCCTAAACCCCTAAACCCTAAACCCTAAACCCAACAGGCTGAGGGATAACTTTAGATTCTTCTCCCAGGTGTTGCCGTGCCCAGCCCGGTCAAGGCGCTGTGCCAGAACCGCACAAGAGCTACGAGCAGGCAGGAGATTTTACGTTTTGGGGTTTGGGGTTTGGGGTTTAGGGTTTCGGGTTTAGGGTTTAGGGTTTGGGGTTTAGGGTTTAGGGTTTAGGGTGTTTTTGTTGAAGGAATTTTTCCCGACTGCATTTGCACCCTGAATCCCATCTCGGGAAGGCCGCTGTCGCACCTCAAGTGACTCAAGTGCAACCTTCAGGCACTCCAGGGTTTAGGGTTTAGGGTTTAGGGTTTCGGGTTTAGGCGGATGCTCTGTCAACCCCAACTCGCCCTCATTGCCTTCCGACTCCGGTTTAGGGACGCAGACATCGAAAAGTGCCCGGGCGCCTACGTACGGTCCTAGGGGACTGTGCCCTGCGCCTAGTTGCGCTTTGCACTGCAATCCAGAAAGTACAGCATACAACCGGTCGGGCCCGATGTCACACGGGGGCTGTGCCGGGAGTATATAATACTGTAATCGTACGGACGTCTGCGTGCCCCATACGGTAAGACATCAGGACAGGTAGTACGGCCGATAAGCATAAGTAGCAACGACAATACTCAGCATAACGCTGACAATGACTTGCTTAATAATGCTATGCAGTATTGCTCAAAAGATATTCAGAACAATAACCATAGTCATAGTCATACTCAGACACCAAACAACAATAGCAACCATAAGGTAATAACAAAAGCAATGATAATGCTGTAACAGAGCTTATAACACAAAAAGGAATACTATTATACTGATACTCATATTATGATGTTCATAGCAAATAACAGTAACATATTTACTTATCGTAACATGTATCATCATCATAATGGCAATGGCCGTCGCCACCGGCCTCACTGCACGCGAACTCCGTGAGCCAGAGTGGCTTCCCGAAGACCTTGTACAGCTCGATGTGATCCTGCAAAGACCCAAAAAAAAGTCTGTAGAGCTTAGGGCTTGAAACACAGAAACTTTGTAATTAGAGTAGGCTCTTCGGGGTCTATCATAGTACACTTATAGGTTCGACCTTGCCTCTGACAGAAAACTCTTTCTACCTTCTTGGAGCCTTATTCTGCACCTCATTATAATAACGCATTTGGGTCTCATCACAACACTAAATAGGTCCCATCATAACACTGATTTGGGTCTCATCACAACAGAAAGTTGGCCTCATCATGACACTGAATCGGGGGGGGGGGTGGGCGGCGACTGTGGTGGGTTTAGGGCTTCGTGCTTCGAGCTCAGGGTGTAGGCGCAGGGGTGCGGAGGCTGGGAGCTTCCGCAAGGTTTGGCTGAGGAGATTTCCTCTCGGCTTAGGGTTTAATGTTTAGGTGTTTCTTTTAAGTGCAATGGCCCTTTCACTTTAAAAGGGCCATTGCACTTATGTTTAGGTGTTTAGGGCTTTCGGGTTGAGGCTTGGGTTATGCTTCCAGGTCTGCCACTCCGAAGAAATGCAAGGTATTGACCCGACTCTCTGCGACTGCGGAAGGCTCGTCCGGGTTAATGCATTCAACAGAGGTTAAAAGTGCAGTTCAAGATCAAGCTCTGGCTGCCCTTATACACGGAAAGAAGTTGTTGCAAGCGCAGCTGGGAGAATCATGACTTAAGGGATCCCAATCTGGATCCGAAGTTGCAGGATCCGTAACATAAGGACCTCTAGGTGAGGACCCCGGATTCAATAACCCCCTCTCATTGCAGGTGTCACGCGTTCCGTCTCGGGCTTCTTCATCCCTGCCTCTTGCCGGAATGTGAGACATCGTGCTGAGTCAGAGCCGCAAAAATCGACCTCAAACCCGGAACTTCTCGGAGCCTGGAGCCGAAATCCAGCACCCTACATCGAGGGGGGGGCAGTCCTTGAGGTATTTCCCGTGGCAGGTGTAGGTGTGGAAAGCGACAGCATCAACCTTGCAGCCTTGACATTCCTCGAAGAAGTCATGCAGCCAGACGATGGGGTCGTATTCTGCGAAGTTCACGGCCGGGGACACCTGGGGCTGAGCCGTGGCTTCTGGCTTCATAAGTAGCATTCCTGCATTGCGCTTGTGTCGTAGTTTCACTTACGTCTCACCTAGGTAGGTAAGTACTGGGGCACTTCGTCCTTCTGGCACCCCATGTACTGCTGAATACTTCGGAGGAGGGTAGGGTAGGGTGAGGGTCCAGGTGAGGGCGCTTCGGTGCTTCTGAGCCCCACGCCAAGTAGTCGATGCTGGCGTTCCTGGCGAGCTCCTCCAAAGAAGGCCAGAGTTCCGCGGCTTTCGCGGGCGAGAGATTTGCCTGGAGCGCAAAGTATGCAATAGGATCGGTTCGGGTTTTGCAAATCATCAAGACTGAAATACTAGATTTTAACCTTAGGATTTAGGACGTCGGATTTCATTTCGAGCTTGGGAGCGTGAGATGGGAGGACTTAGAATTAAGGGCTTGAGGCTTCAGGGAGTGTTAGGCCTATCTTGCTGCGCCACGGAAACCCAAAACTCTCAACCCTAAACCCCCAAGCCCAAATCCCTA